CTCCATGGAGAAGTTATTGCTTTGCCTATATTGTACCACATTGTGACGTTACACTTTTCTTATCTCCACAAAGACAAATCCAAGTGTGGCCTGAGCGAGTGGGTCTACCTTGATGTCTTATGGCAGGCTTGCCAATGAACATTACCCATTACCCAATTGTAAAACTAAGCGATAATTTTGAAGGTCCGATATTACGCCACACACACACCTGTATTAGTCGCTGGACGAGTGCGGCGAAGGGCAGAACCCGAACAGCCACAGCCCACCCACTAACCAGCATGATGGGCGGTACACAGATGCCGCAGCTACATAGGCCCATGGCAGCAAGCACCAAATAAAAGCAAGAAATCAACTCTAGAGACCTTACTGAATCTTAAACTTAACACTGAATCTCTAATACTACCTGAGAGTGAACAAGCGACGTCAACAAAAGGAAACTGGAAGTAAGAGCACAAGGTCAAAGGGTGAGGGGAAAGAAAGATTGACTGATGTCACTGCCAACCGATAGTCAGACTGCACCCAAGTGGCAGAGCGTGCCCGCAGACCATACTGTCACACAAGTTACAGGTCAGGTTTGTGCAGAGGCAAGCCTGCTCACTGTATTTAAAAACATGCACTGAATGCTTGTTTTTTTTCAAGCAGTTAAAACACCTAAAATTGAATAAATGCTACATAAATAAGTAGGGCTTTAACGATATCCAAATCTGATGGTTCGATATTATCATGATATGCATCTCACAGTACGATATTTATTGCGATATTTTGAAAAGGCTGTTATAATTGTAGATAGATACTTTTATTGCTTTTAAAATACCATGACAAGATTTTGATGTGAATTATTTCCAAGAATTCAAGTCAAAAACATATCTTTTCATGTTGTCTGCGCTGAAATGCATCATGGGATATGTAGTTCTCGATGTTCATAAGCTGTTGCTACTATAAAACTAAGCAAAGGAACTTGTGATTTCATATATTGAGACTTTTGACGATACAATATCACGATATTTTAGTTATTACATCCCTATAAATAAGTATAACGTCATACTGTGGAACTTTTCAGGCAAAGCAATAACTTTTTAACCGTAATTTATACTTATTCATGTCTCTCATTGGTTTTGTAAGAGGTTAAATATTTAGACTCTGCTTAGTCATTCAGTGAAGTCATTCTGTGTGAGCTTTATCTTTGTAGTTTGATTTTTTCCCTCCTCGAACACATTATTTTTTAAGTTTATTTGACATTAAACTTCACCCTGTAATAATCCATGAAATGTTCCAAGTAAAATATCCATCTGAAACTCATACAATGGCCCCAAACTTTACACAGATGACACGTTTTGACCTGTCAAACAAACTGAATCACTACTTGGACAAAAACGTCCCTCTTAAACCCAATTTGCGCAGTTGTACTTTTATCCATCTATCAGTCCTACTTTTGAATCCTCTCTTTTTACCAGTGCACCTGCTCTGCTGTTACACGAGATCATGCCCTTTTTCCATCATGAAATCTAAAGCTTTGGAGGAGCACAGAGTTTCCAAATTGGAAAAGTCTGTCGTCGAGCGAAAGGAAAACCTTAGAAATATTCTCAATACAGCCCATTATGGCAGACAAATTTACTTTAGGTTTGTTTTTAAACTTCTGAAGTACATTTGAAACACTGACTGCGCCCACTTTGGCATTTTGAGCTTCCTCTCAATCAAGTCATTTTAGAGCCAATCCAGAAATGTCATGGAAAACCTGTTCTACATCTGAATGCGCTCTCTGAAATTCACCGTGTAAAATTGAACTATTAAGATAAGATGGGAAAACTGGCTTATGTGCATCTTACAGTGGAGAAATTGCAGTGTTGCCAATTAAGAATACAAAAAATCTAAAAGAATAATAATAGAAAGAAAAATCTAAAAATAAAAAAGACAAAAAATAGATTAAAAATATTCTTACTAAAACAAGTAAAATATTAAATATCACATTTACTTTTTTTTTCAATTTTAGCTCAGTTAGTATTACAGTTTTTTTCTGTTGTTGCTATTACTTTGCTCTAGTAAACAGAGGTGGGGATTTGCGAGTCGTGACTTGGACTCGAGTCAGACTTGAGACTTGACTTGATAAAATGGACTATGACTTGGGACTCAAATTGGACTTGAAGGTCAGTGACATGGGACTTGACTCAGACCTCCCTGTGACTTGAGAAGACTTGATGTTTTTCCTTAAAAAAAAAAAAAGTTCTTAGAAAATACTTTTCTCTTTACAGTTGATAAATGTGGCACAGAATTTTACAGGAACAAACTGGAACATGTCCCCCCACTTCTGTTTGTTACTTTGGATGGAAACACTGTGATACTCAAATGTACTACAGTAATATACAGTAATACACAGTACAACACAATAAAACAGAGGAAACTACAGGGAACATGATCCTTTCATTTCAGTGCAGACTACATGACAAAATAACAGCACTTTTAAATCTGAATTCTTTCTATTCTGACCATCATGATTCACACTAAGATCTTGTCAAGATGTTAAAAAAGGAAAAATTTACATTTCTACAACTCTTATATAAATACTCATGTATAAGTATTCCATGACTTTTTAAGTACAATTTACTTCAAAATTCATATTAATTGCAAAAAACAAAGCTCCATTTAGTACTTTGGTTTAAAGACTTGAAATGACTTGAAGCTCAAAGCAGATGACTTGGACTTGACTTGGACTTATGGGCCAGTGACTCGAGACTCGATTTGGACTTGCCTGTCTTTGACTTGGGATTTGACTCGCGGTCTTGAGGTCAAAGACTTGAGACTTACTTGACACTTGCAAAACAACAACTTGGTCCCACCTCTGCTGGTAACTAATAAAAATCATTACCTTTAAGATTCCAAGCAAAATTACTTTTTAAGAATTGGGAATGTTGTTGAGTGTAGTGTGTAAAACCTCTCTGGCCTAAGTTGCTTATTAAGATAATATAAACCAGAAACATCCATTCTAAATCTGTTAATGTTTCTATAAAGTGTCTTAATAATAAGTGTCCCGGTGGGCTAAGGAGGACGATTACACACAAGAGACAATAAACAAACAGAGCTACTGTAACAGTGAAATACATAGAAACAAATGTACAAAAGAACATATTTTTCTTATCATATAACTAAACCCAACATAATGGAGAAAACACATGCACATGATAAGAATTACTGCCCAAACCACAAATCGAACCATCAGTCATTTGTTGCATTTGAAAAAAATGATCAAGACATTTCCCGCATTTTGCATAAGAAAGATTTATTCTCTATGCAGAAAAAGACATCTGTATTCGATCACTATTCAAAATGTATAAAAAACATTGAAGGAAGAAACATAAAAATGGAATAATGAAGGCACTTTAGGTTGGCAAGAGTTTGTGCAAGATGCAGCTGGCTGGAGTCACAAAGATGCGTTCAAAGACGTCTGGTTTAATTCCAGTTTAAAATATCCAGAAACCAGAAGATAATAATATTTACAACAAAAACGTGGTAAAAATGTGTTCCTCATTTTTATCCATATCTGGAAAATAGTTCACTTGTATCCACCACCAAAGTGTGCATCTCGGAACCAGGGTTACGTTTGTGGTTACGTTTTGGTTTTAACATTGTGTTTCAAAAATGTGGTAGTGGTTAAGGCTAGTGGTGCACCCCGCCTAAGGCCCACAGCTGCTGGTATAAACTTTTTTTATTCCAACAAGACTAAACATGAAAATTAATGAAGTTTTATACAAATTATATTGGTCTTAAAATTGTCACTGCTCAGCAACGACTAATCCTGGTGAGGTATCATTTAAAAAACTGTCACAATAATAATAAAAATGTCAACAGTAAAAACAAATAACAATCAAATATTTACAACAAGTTAAAGGTGCACTATGGAACTTTTTGGGTGTAGGACTGTCCACCTGTCGGAGATGTTATTGGCGACCCCGCTCACAGTAAGAAGCATGTTTTTCAAGCAACAAAACATCTGTAATTGCATAAATGTAAGACAAGTTTGTATCATATTTTAAAACATGCCGGACAAAACAATAATATAAAATAAACCGGTGGTAGACCTTTAATCCATGTGTCATTCGTTCATTCGTTTTTCAATATAAAACCAAAAATAAGAAAACAAAAAAACAACTATTTTCTTCATTATCTGTCTCCAAAACCAAAATGAAAAAGCAGATAACGAGTTTTCGATTTTGTGTTTAAATGAATAATGGAACAAACGGATAATGGACGTTTCCCGTTTCTGTGACTTAAAATGGGATGCCGGACTGAACCAGGACAAACCAGGACTAAAACAGGTCCGGGACTAGAACAGAACCAGATCAGGACTGAGACCAGGACTTAGACCAGGAACAGGACCAGGACTGAGACTGGGACTGAGGCTGGGACCAGACTATGTTTGAGACCGGGACTGAGACTGGGACCAGATCGGGACTAGAACGGGACTGAGACCAGGACCAGAATGGGGATGAGACCAGGACCGAGACCGGGACCGAGACAAGGACCAGACCAGGACTAAGACCGGGACCAGACCAGGACTAAGACCAGGACCAGACCGGGACCAGACTGGGACTGAGTGTGGGACCAGACCAGGACTGAAAATGGTTTAGTTATGGTTAAGTCCTGATTTAATCCTGTTTTAGTCCTGGTTCAGACCTGGTTCAGTCCTGGTTCAGTTCTGGTTCAGTTCTGGTTCAATTCTGGTTCAGTCCGTATGCGGCGCAAAAGTCCGGTATCACAGTTTAAGTCACGGAAATGGGAAATGGTCGTAATCCGTTTTTTCCGTTATTCATTTAAACACAAAATCGAAAACTGATCCAATTTTTTTCATTTTGTTTTTAGAGACAAATAATGAAGAAAACAGTTGTTTTTCATTTTATTATTTTTGGATTTATATTGAAAAACGAATGAACGAATAATACACGGATTACCCTTCACCAGAAAAGTTACACAGTGCACCTTTAAAGCAACAAATAGTGGCGTTGATTTCACGTCAAAAGTCCGTTGAACTTCCATGTTTTGTTGCGTACGTGTCTCCGGGTGTCCCGCAGCGTCAGGCGGGTGCTGTTATTCTGAGCTGGGGGAGGCAGCAGAGTCTATGTCATCATTGTCCAGTTCGTTTGGAGATCCGGACTGTCCGCCTTTCACCCTCTTCCACTTCATCCTCCTGTTCTGGAACCACACTTTCACCTGGAACACAGCGAGGAGACACTTCGTTCACTACAGGGAAGGAACGTGATGAAGTAAAAGTATGGTTTAGGCGTCTGTATTTTACTTAAAGGTTGTATGGAGGATTTTTTTTGTTTTGTTTCAAATTGTCAATGAAAGTTTAAAATATCATTACTGAAATGCAGCAGCCTGGTAATTATGTTGACTAAAAAAAAAGAATGAAAATCTATCAACTGTGAGGGCAGATAAACATCAACCAATAGATAACAAGGCTACCTCATTTCCTATTGGCTGTTAGATTGTCAAACTCCCTATGTTTCTAGTGTAACTGACTCGCCGTCGCGCAGGGATTACGTGGTTTATGCGACGGTTCTTAGAGGCTTTTTCAAACTGTAGCTTCCTCGCAGTTCGCACAAAGTTTGTTGCGATGGCGGACGAGAATCCACGACCAGTTCGCTGCGAAAGAAAGTCCGTTTTTGAGGTCGCTGAAAGAAGAAGAGAAGGGGAAAAGGAGCAAAGCCAAACTGAGGTGATTCTTGGAGATCTCTTCCAGCGATTGCGTGAATGAAGCAGACACAGGGTCTAAAAACTGACGTGTAGGTCGCTAAATTATTTCTAGACAGGTCACTTCAACAGTAATTCTGAACATGCACTGGCTGTAAACAAGCGTGATTTCTAGAGTAAGGAGGCAGGAAGAGATGTTTCTACTAAGGGAGCTGTGGAGGAGGAAGGTGGTGTCACACATGCACAACATTTGAAAAAGGACTGGCGCTGTATTTCTTTTCCCTTTAAAAAATCCTCTACACAACCTTTAAGTAGATTTTAAAGTGGATATCTGTTCTTTCCACTCCACTGCATTTCTGAACAGGACTAAAAAGTAAACGTATTTGACCTGTTGAAAAGACTGAGTGGGTTGTTTTTAAAATATTTGTGGTCTGAGCAAACAAAAATATACAAAGAAAAACTGCTAAGAACAAAAAAAAAAAGATCAATTTAGTTTCTGTTTCCACATAAAATCTTCATTTCAATCACTACATTTCAAACTTTATTAGATCTTTCAGTGTCTCTCAGTAACAAATCTGAGTATTTCTTCCATCCCTGATTAATCAGGAAAGACAATAAAGCGCATTTTTGTGTTTTAAAAATGTGAAAATTAGTTCAGTAAAGTGTTTGCAGCAGCCCAAATGTATTCCTCACTTACCTAATACATTCCTATAACATCCAAATTCTTCGCTGTAATGACTTTGTAAGCACTTTTCATAACTTTCTGTACTAGCCAAAGATAATTACATGAAAAAATCTGTTACAGACTCTTTAACTATTATTTCTGAACAGATTTTTTTCTTGTACTATGATGAAATACTGATGGAACACAAAATTCTAGCTATGTGTTTTATATATGAAAAATAAAACACCTCCTGTACAGAGCCCTATACGTAAACAAAAACTTTTAATGTAACTTTTCTTTTAAAATACACATTACATTTATTACATTTAACATTAGCTATAGTGTTCCTGTTTCTGGATTTAACAAATGTGCCTAAAAGCGGTAAGAAATAAACACGCAAATCACTGCAGTTCTTAAAAAGTTGAGACAATAAAGCGATTGAGTAAGCTTGTTTTCTTCCTTTCGCTCGCTACCTGATACATGAGTTTTGTGGTGCTTTTGTAACAATATGTACAACAGTCAGCAGAAAAACAGACAAATAAAGTCTGTTAAATCTCCTTCATCGTCCTGAGGAAACAGACTCTGGCTCTGGGTTTTTGGCTGGACAGAGACGAGAATTCACTGAAAACGCAATTGTCTGAAAAATACATCCATGCATGATTTCAAGTTATGGTTCAGGATAAAAATGTGCATCGCTAGTGGATTTAATAAAGTTAAAATCCAGGTTACTTGAGCCCTGAATATTGTTTACAGCAAATTATAATATTTGTTGTTAACATTATGGGACTAAATGTTGCTGATGTTCAATTTATTTTCTATTAGAGCTGGATATCATTAAGAAGTTGCCGATACGATACATACCTCGATACATAGGCAACGATACGATACATATCTCGAAACAGTGCATTCGATACGATATATTTCAAATTGATTCGATATGGTTCAATAAAATAAAGGCTAAATCATGTCTGTGATACTAAAAGTCTTGGTTAAACCACTTCTTGTGTAAAGTTCATATGAAAAACAAACATTTTAATCTTCAAAACTGTGAAAATGTCAAATGTGTCGCATAAAAGAGTTTCCTTCCACTGAACAAACAACAAAACTGTAGCACTGAAACAAAATAATTTAGTAAAATATACCAAAAAATACTCTTAGTGATATACTGATACAGCAGCCCATGATATCGATACTGTATCATCACATTAAAGGACATGATATATCAATAATTCGATATTTTTGGATGCCCCTATTTTCTTTGTTGCTATGTTTGTCTCTATTTTGCTGCTGCTGCTGAACCTTGAATTTCCTTTGGGATCAACAAAGTATCTGTCCATTTGTCTATCTGTCAGTTTGTCTATCCCATATTGGCTTCCGCTAACAGGCAGAATAAACAAACAAGTCCATGCAGTAAGTTTAATAGAAAAGTAAAATGACTCTATGTTACTAAATGTACAGTTTATAGATAGAGAAACCAATAACTTTAAAATGCAACAAATTTTAAAATGTATTCTTAGTTGGTCAATCCGCCGCCTGCTGATTGAAAAGCCGGCCGTTGCCCAGGACGACGCAGGATGAGTTGGAAAAAACCCCAGACAGGCTGCAGAGGGATCGAGAAGTGAGGATGGGACCGGGATTTGGGAATGTTTCGGGAATGTCTGCGTGTCTCTGTACTTGTGTGTGTGTGTGTGTGTGTGTGTACGAGTGTGTGCGTGAGTGTGTGTGGGACGGGACGCCTGGGAAACGCATTTAGGAGCAGACAGCAGCAGTATGTGTGGTCAGTGTGTGGCAGTGTGGCCCGGGACCGGTTGGGGGAGGAGGAGGAGGAGGAGAGGTGGAGGAAGAGGAGAAGGAGAAGGGAGAAGGGCTACATCCGAATGTTAGAATATACTGTACGACCACAAAGTATGGAGCGGAAATTTACAAATTGCTAGTTAATATGGTGTAACAATTCTGGAAAATTTTATTCCTAATTGCGTATAGTCAGGTTGAATTTGGTTGGGAATTATCTTATCAGAAACCAGAAATATATCCTATTTATATACAATTAAAATCTACTCAGCAAATACATTTAAGTGTCAAATAGTGTTGAAGATATTTTGTGTTGTAAGCATCACAATTTGATAAAAATGCAAAAAGACATATTTTTTAAAAGGTAGGGCATGTCATTTTTCGTCACCTGTTTGGCTCCTTGGATATATATATATTTTTTGTTGTGCCTGAAATGTTGCAGTATGGCTTTAAACTCATCTAGATTTATTTCATTGTGGCAGTTTTCATTGCTAAAGAAAATAAAAATAAATGCATTCTTGGTGAGTTTAAGCTGCCATACTGTGGAACATTCCAGACAACAACATCTCCAGGGCGTCCCCAGGTTTGACTACCCCAAATTTAAGACTTTTTTAAGACCTTTTTAAGACCACTTAAATGAAAATTAAGCCCAACATCGCACCCATTATGTGGGCGAAAAACACCAGATCTATTCTAATAATGACCATTACTCACTGCTTTAAGTAACAAAAAATACCTTTATTATAAAATCTCATTCAGAACTCATTTATAGTCGTATGCACTGCTTGCAAAATGGCCAAAAAATAATTTATAACAAAGAACTAACCTGACAAAGACAAACTAACATTTCACATAGTCTTGTCTCACATTGACTTTTAAAGTGTTTCAACCATTTAACATTTTCAACAACAACAAACTGTTTTTCACTCTACTGATTATTTACTCATTTCCGCCGACGCCAAAAACCTTATTTGGCTTATTTGGCGTTCATTCACGTTCCATGATTTCACATTGTTGTTTTTGTTCCTCCCTCCATTTAACATCGCACTGCAGCCCGGTTGAGTATATAAAAATATAGGCTGATGAGAAATTTAAGACCTTTGTGAAAAAAATAAGACTTGGACAACATAATTTAGGACTTTTTAAGACTTTTAAGACCCCGTTGCAACCCTGATCTCAAAGAAGACAAGCAGGTGATGGACCCTCCCCCAGAAAAGTTACATAAGACACCTTTAAATGTAACTAGTTTTTTCACCAGTACAGAAATGAGTTGGAGGGGAAAAAATCGCTATAAGAATATGTGAAGTATATAAACCCATCTTCCTCACCTGTCTCTCTGTGAGGTCCAGGTTGACGGCGATCTCGTAGCGCCTCAGTCTGGTCAGGTAGTTGTGGTGCGTAAACTCCGCCTCCAACTCCCTCAGCTGCTCTTTGGTGAAGGCCGTGCGCTCCTTCCTCGCCTTACAGCTCGAGTCCACCTTAAAACTGGAATCCTGCAGGTCTAAACAACAACAACAAAAAAAACTGTAAAAATAAAATTGGGAAAATATACGATTATGTACATTTTCACCTTTTCCTCTAACATTTTTAATATCTTTAAACTGGTAAATGCAAATGTAGTAGTGGTTGTAGTGTAATTATATTATTTAAAACATTTTCAATAGTCTATTTAGTAGTAGTAGTAGTAGTAGTAGTAGTAGTAGTGGAATTAACATTAGTAGGCATATATAGTGATAGTAATACTCATTTACTCATTAAATGCTTTACTCTTACAAGGTAGATTATAGTATTTTCAGCAGTAGTTTTTCTCCTTCCACCACCTCCTGTCACTAATTTGTTTTTAATTGTTTAAGATTTTCTTTCACAACACATTTCAGACCAGTACTCCAAAGACTTTTTAATGAGAGTCCTCGTATAGTAAACGCAGCAGGTTGTAAGTGGACCACCCAACCACATGCCTATACGTACTTGCCCACTCCCAGTACTCCAACTTCTACTGCAATACACATCATATATTTTACAACAATAACAACATACATGCAGTTTTGTCATATTTTGGGGTCGTAGCTTGTCTTGCGTATAGTCCGAGGACACATAGGGAGTACATTAGACGAGGAATGCAGCGGAACATCGTTAAAAAGTCTAACAAAAGAACAAAGGTGACCAGGATGTGTCCAGGGCGCGCAACTGGGAAAGACTGAGTGAGTGTCTGCGTATTTATATAGATATGCACAGTTTGAATGTAGGGCTATGTAGAAATGTACATGATCAGTAAAAGTGTGAGCAGGGTATAGGTCAGGCTATATAGAAAATTGGACACATGTCACTTTTTTTGAAGCAGAATAGAGCTATAGGCAACTGTAGACATTCAACTTTTTTGTAAATATACGACACAATTCTAGTTTTCATTTCACATTCACAGCATTTTTTTGGACCATTTGGAATATTTTTTAAATTTTTATGAGAGACAGTACATAGTCGTTGATTATACAAATTGTAGTAAATACTTTTGTTTTACTATTTGTTCAAATTTTCATTCTTTTCCTGCTGCCATATCCTCTCTCATTAAAAATATATGACATTTTTAATTGCATTTATATTTCAATCAATGTGTAACTAATCAAATATAATTTACTCAATACCCAGTGAAGTACAGTTTTATATAGGCTCCATTTACAGTCGACTTACTCCTTGTTTTCTTCTTCCATATTGCATAAACTGTACTGTACATCTTCATTTGCAGCTATAAATACCAGTGGAAGTAGTTGCTCACGTCTGTCCCTTGTGTCTAAAAGCAGTGTGTTTGGGTAACACTTGTGCATTGGTAGCGACATGAGCCGCTGATGTAATCGCTCGAAAATGGTCCTAATTTGTCAAAAGTGAGAAGTTGTGGTGAGTCTTTGCCAGAACCCCACGCCAGAACGGGAACTGGGAGTGGAGCAGCTAATCCAGATGTGTCCAGACCCACGTGCAGCACTCACAGACTGGAGCACAGCTGCAGACACACGGACGGGAGGGTCCAGGGTTTGGTCAGAACAATGCAATGGAATAATAATGTTTGTATGATTGTATTATGTGGTAGATTTACTCTTAACAGGATAAATTAGCTTCACATTATAACTGTGAGCATGGTAAATACGCCTGCTTTGTTTCCTTTAGATTCCCAAAATTATTTTCCTTTACTTTATTTTATAGTTACTGCTTGAAAATTTGAAAAACACTATTTATCTTTTCACAAAATTCAGGGACTAATGCGAAGTCTGGTCACAATAACTAACAATCACTATCCTGCTAACAGTTAGGGGTGTCTAAAAATACTGAAATATCGATATCTCGTATTGTTTAATGTGATGATACAGTATTGATATCATGGGCTGCTGTATTGATATATCGCCAAGAGTATTTTTTGGTATATTTTACTGAATTATTTTGTTTCAGAGCTACAGTTTTGTTGCTTGTTCTGAGAAAGTAAAGTAAACTCTTTTATGCGACACATTTGACATTTTCACTGTTTTGATGATTAAAATGTTTGTGTTTCATCTGAACTTTGCACAGGAAGTGGTTTAACAAAGACTTTTAGTATCACAGCCACGATTTAGACTTTATTTTTTAGTGAACTGCATTGAATCGATTTGAAATATATCATGTCGAATTGAAAGCTCACTGTATCGAGATATATATGTATGATTGTCGCGCACTTCCTGTTTCGCAGAGGATAAAATGTGTAAGCTGTAATTAGATGCAGACTTCACAGCAGGCTCAGACACATTTTGCTCAACTACGTGGACAAAAATCAGGTATGGCAACTTGAAACGTCAAACTAAAATCTCATTGTGTCTTGCCTAGAGTGAAAAGAAACAAAGAGTAGCATCACTAGCATGCAAATATGGACATGTAAACACAATGACAACATAAACTGAGCCTATACAGTTGTTACCCGACATCTCTTGGTATTTTTTGTATAGATGGATATCAGTGTGGTCCCCATGCATCTCGAGTTCGATTGACATTGCGCAATTACTGTTTTTATTTTTTTCTTGAAACAAAAGAGCTCATTGGTCAGCTATTATTTACAAAATGATAGTTCTCTCACATCTTTGTAAAGTTGAAGAAGCTGAAGAAGTGTGTATTCTGGGTCCCAGGGAAAAACAGTTGGGTACAATGCTCTAATATCCTAATGATTTCACTTCCTGTATACGGTAAAATAAAACAAAAGTCTATGGAGAACACAGTCACAGCACAGTCACCATTTCTTCTGATCCACACGAGCTTCTGTATTTCATCAAACGCAGAGAGAGGAAATATTAGGTGAAGCCGCTCTAACGTCCCTGGTATGCGGAGGCAGGAGCAGGTCTCACGGTGTCCAGGTCTGGCACGGCGTTAGGCAGGTTTTACACATGAACACCTGGCAACCCACACCCTCTCCCTCACAACAGAGCTCCATAAATATGCCACAGCACAGCCAGAGCCAGAGCCGCCCAGCAGGACTCCCTCACAAACATTTGGTCCTTTTTAAAACCAAACCATAATGCACTTTGTCTTCATCAGCGCTCAATCGGAACATAATTAGACTGGTGTAAAAGTAATGGTTTTGATGGATTTACGTGACAAAGCAAATATCTGCGTTTAGTGTTTTTTCGTTAATAAAAAGTTTAGTTTAGTTTGTGATAAATTAGAGACAATGCTATAAATGTCAGATTTTTATTTTTTTTTTAATATTATTTCTACAGATTTTACAGGGAAAAATAAGAATGGAAAGAATATCAAAGTTTTTTTTTATTTAACTCACTAAACCATGCCTCTCAGTAGATTCTTTGTCAATAAATATAATTTGCAAGTTTAGAATCTGTTCATGTATTTCAGATAAATTATAATTTACTATTTCTTATATACATTATTTGTGATTTGAAAGATTTTGTGAAGACTTTTCCCTTTCAAACGATAGGATATTTTAACTTGATTTGGTTAATTGACACAGCTCGAAACCCATTTGTGGTTTATTTTATTTGATTTCACATTTTTAGACCAAACTTATAAAACACTTATTACACATAATTGTACTTTTCAACTCTTCATATTCGTGTTTAGAATTTTAGATTTTAGAATTTACCTGGGAATTAAAAGATCTTTGACCTTAAAAATACTGACTTAGATACTGACTCTGACTTATTTGTGTTTAGAATTTTAGATTTTAGAATTTATGTGGAAACTAAAAGATCTTTGACCTTAAAAATACTGACTTATATACTAACTCTGACTTATTTCTGTTTAGAATAGTAAATTTTAGATTTTACGTGGAAACTAAAAGATCTTTAACCTTCAAAATACTGAAATATATACTGACTCTGACTTATTTGTGTTTAGAATTTTAGATTTTAGAATTTACCTGAGAACTAAAAGATCTTTGACCTTAAAGATACAGAATAAACCTTTGAATGTGAGTCTCTTTCTGAGCACTACATATTTCACCTTGTACTTGTACTTGTTGTAGATATGATACACCTTTTCGTCCGTAGCCACCTTTTTTCACAATAATATTTTTCTACAGGTTTTCACTCCCACACCACTTCCTCCACCCCCACACAATATGATATAACCATCATTTTCCTATTGCACCACTTTGTAAAATTGCCAGTGTAGCACGCAGCTGATATCAGATCCTGGATTGAGTTTCTCTTTTGGCTTAAGTCCACACATTCAAGCCAAACTTAAAGAAGCACGCGCAAGGTATACACTATAGCACTCGCCCATCTGTAAAGTGGAAGCTTGGGGCTATTTTCCTAATTTATGCTGTTCTAACCAAAACCAATAGAGCCTCAATGGTAGTTTTTTTTTTTTTTTTTTTCTAAATTTGGGGTCTGATGTAGTGGTCAGACCAGAGCATGTACTCAGTGGGAGATTGTATTACAGCTTAACGACAGGAAAATGTCAATGGAGAAGAATGCGGGAGGTGGGCTAACAGCTAGTGATTTTAGCAGACGCAGCTTGGCCTGTGTTCAGTGCGTGAGCGAGGTTACAATAAGGTAAGGAGCGAAGGAAGAGAGGGTCCGACATCCCCTCCCCTCAACCTCATCTCGTCCCCTGTCCCCCCTCCTCTCCCCCCTCCGCTCAATTAGAGCCGTGTTGTTGCAGGGGTAATTGGACAAGTTCGGCGTAATCAGTTGTGTTTATACAATGGAGTGAAATGTTAATCACACAAGCTTTGACACGTGAGGTGGAATAGTGAGGACTGATAAACGGCATTCATATATTTTATTTGTGATGTATATTTTTTATAATTTAGTACAATATTGTTTTGGTTTGAATTGCATATGTCACGGGGGTCAAACTCAAATTGACAGAGGCCAAAATGAAAAACTGGGACTAAGTCATGGGCCAAACTAAATATTTATTGACAATTTTCAGCTTCTCTCGAGATATGTAATGTTAAACCTTTTCTTATTAAAATAAATGTTTAATAATAGTTTGTCTTAAACAGTGAATCCAGAACAAACATAATATAAAATAATAACAACAATTTAAATAAATAATGTCTCTATAGTCTATCTGTAGCCGGCGGGCAGCTCTAATACATATTTGATATGATCTAGTGGACCAAATATAATTATATCGCAGACCAAATTTGGCCCCCGGGCCTTAGTTTGACATGTCTGGCATATGGGAATGAGTAAATGGATAATAGTGATTCAGCCCACAGCTTCACGATATAAAAAATTGCTGGTTTATTGTAATTTATTTTTTATTTTAAAAAAAAAAAAAAGCCTTTTATTTCATTTATTTATTTTTTAATTTTTTTTGGTTCCCTATTGCAAGCATGATAACTACTTGGGAGTTTTGAATTGCAAACTATTCTAAGTTTATTAATGTGTGTTGCTGTAAATCATTGAATCCAAATAATACTTAACTTAAATTTGGCATTCATATACTTGCTGTATAACTGCGCATAGACCACTAGAAGTAAATCCCACGCTTTGTCTTCTGTTTTAATTGCAATATAAACTCTGATATTTGACCCCACATACACTAACTCTCTTTAATAAAACAATAGCATGAGTTTCCAGAGGATGCAGGTCACAGTTCGTCTCATTAATCATGAAGTTTTGTATAAGCCTCTGTACAATAAGAGGATACTGCTGCTCCTGCTTTAAGTTTACATACACAAGTGTTTCATTTACACGAGTCACTTCACCCACTCACCTTTAACACACGCATCTGCACCTATAGAATTTCGCTAATGAGTTCTGATTTATGCCGTTACACCCCGGAGTATGATTAGTTTTAATTTGACGACAATTCATAAAAACGTTCTTGTCTGTGTTGCCATGGTAATGCTTTAAAATAAGTGAGTAAATGAGTAAAACGTAATGCATGCAAGCTTAGTGTCGCTTACAGTCAGATTCTGCTTTTTAATATTCAAGAAATTATAGATTATAACTGTTTTATTTTGTGTGTGTGTATTTTTAATGCTATATTATTAGATTTCAGTTTTGTTTAAATCAGATATAAGCATAAATGCAGGACAGGCAATCAAATAATCTCCCTCCATTACCAAATTAAACAAAATCTGAAATGATTTTATTGCATTTGGTATCATGAATTGTGGTGAATTATTGGAAACTGTCATAAATTATGCATCCTTCCTTTGAGATATTACTATAACTTCACTAATCTAATCTAAAAGCAGCTCTTGTAGCTCTAGAGATTCAAGTTATATATTAATAAATGTATTTTTGCTTAATTAAATTGTCAAATAAGTACTACACAAGTATGTCCTGTTTCCTCTCCACTCACCTGTAGCGTCTCTTTTCCTTTTATTGCTGGTTTTCTTGTCCGAATCTCCCGACGCTACACTCTGCGGCGAGTATTCTCCGTCCAGGCACCCCGGCATCCTGTCCACACTGTCCATCTCCGGCCCCACGCTGCCCCCCGTGCCCCCCGCGCCCACCCCCGCCACCGCTCCGGCCGAGGGGGCGACAGGTGCGCACGCCTCTGGACCCCTGGAGCTGAACTGCCACTCCGCCACCCTCTGGTACCCCGCCTGAGCGTCAGTGGAGTACAGTCTGTCGTCTCGCGGGTATGGGGTAGGCACCAGGCAGGAGCTGGGGGTGAAATCCGCAGTGTAGGCCAGGAAATCGGGCTTCTGGTGCAGGGTGAAGGGCGGCTGCGGTTGGTAGGGCGACTGGAGGTTGACCTGTCCTCCCGGGTGATGGGGGTTACGCATGCAGCCCCAGATCGCACTGCCAGGGTGAGCGCTCCTCATGCAGCTGCTGGCCGGTTGATCCATGCTCGAATTCTTGTCAAATGTCCTTTAATTTTCAGCAAAACTCTCCACAAAATTCAGCTGTATTCAAAACTTTGGTGTGTTGCCAGATTGGGATCACAAAAATATCAATCTTATCCCAACTACTTCTCTAAAAAAATCTCTCAAATTATTAATTGCAATCCAAAATTCAAGAGCAGTGCGTTGCCAGATCATAAACTACGCTTTTTCATCTCATCCAAATTCTGACGCGTTGCCAGGTTGTGAAGCTGTCTCCCCTCAATCCTCTCTCTTGCTCTTCTCCGGCTCGCATCCCAGACTGCAGAACTGTTCTCACAACTTTCCCAAAGCCATTCCTGACAAGAGAGCACCTCCTCCTATTTAAACATATAGGTGGGAAAGAGTGGCGAGTTTATGGGGTGTAATTTGAGCTTTCGGGGGAGGTGGGAGGGGCCGGGGGCGGAGCCAAGCCAAGCCGGGCCGGACCACATGTTGCCTGGTGGTATACCCTCCTAACTAACGCTGCATCAACTATTAATCACCGAGGAAATTTTATATGCACGTCCAATGGGCTTTCCAGACGCTTCGAATTTTAAAGGGACACTGTCTATAAAACATAACGTTAGAAGCACCAGCCACGGGAGAATCAAAGTGACAGGATTTCATGTTTTTGTAATTAAGACTTGGTTTGGGTTGATTATACTCATGTTGAATATTCATCATAGTTTTACATCGTTATGTGTCAGTTTGTGGGAAAATGTTGAAAGGAAAAGTACAAAAATACAGGAAGTGGAGCTGAGTTATAAAACAGAATAACACTAGTAATCAACACAGAAAAGTCTGCCCAAGATACAAGGACAATTTACTCACAAGAAGACAGTTTTCTGGCAGTTTAAATATTCATTTAGTCCAATCATAACTATTGTGTAATTTTGTTTTTGCCCCTGTTAACATTATTGTCTCTTCATGTATGTTATACCTGTGGCCCATGTCTAACCAAGAAGTGAAATTCGCCAAAGTAAAAGTAAAGAAAAATAGAAACATTACACAAGATTTGTAATAAAACCTTAAGTATAATTTCGTTTCATGTTTTAGTGAGCTTGTCGTATGCACTTTAAAGAGTTAAGGATCTCTTGGTTTCACTTTGACACCCTGTTCAGTCCTGTTTTTGACACCTTTTCGGGGAAGGTTAACCCGACCCCCCTGACGCTGCACCCTTGCTCCCTATCTGTCCTCTGCAATCTACAAAGTACTTTTTTACGACTTTAGAGAAATACCTCATGCGCGCGCGCGTGTGTGTGTGTAGTTCAGTTTCACACCAGGCCCCACCTGGCTGGTCCTCTCGTGGCTCAGAGGTGACAGGGTTTGTAGACGTTTTTTTGGGTTCGACTGTGCTCCAGCCCAGACTCTGCTCACACCTCTGGAGGGTTCACACCCGAGCGGGACACCATATACTATTTCACACCAATATTTCAACAACACAAGCAGCTATTTCATTATGACAAATGTAGAAACTCAAGGTGTTTTCATTATATTCAGCAATTCACACCGTATTTCAGCTAAACTCATAGTATGGTCAAGTGGAAATTTCAGTACTGTTAAAGGGAAAAAAAAAAAAAGTGTTGAATTATCAGTTTTTTCAAGCATTGATTATATAAGAAATGATGCAATTTGGAATTTATTATAATAGTTGTCAGATCTCATGTTGAAAAATGCAAATTCTAAAAATCTTTGTACAAACTTAAAAACAAAATATTGAAATAAAAAAAATGTAACTTTCTCGGTGAAGGTCACAGCACTTTCTCCATTTCTGCATTTTAAAGATCCACCGTCTAAGTTGTATGTCATCAGCTTGACTCTATAGAGATGTTATTGCTTTGCTTGAAATGTTCCACAGTGGGGCATAAAACATATCGAATTGGCATTTATTGAATTTTTGTTGGTCAAAAATACCTTCTTAGTGTGAATGCATGGGCTTGCCTTTCCACAGATCTGACCTGTAACTGTTCATTGAGATAGATACATTAATGCTACACTGTGGAACATTTCAGGTAAAGCAATAACATCTCTTTAGAGTCAAGCTGATGACATAAAACTTAGACGGTGGATCTTTAAAATGTATTCTTTCAATAATCATAATTAGTATTTAAGGGCCAATATTACCGTATTTTTCAGACTTTAAATTGCACTTTTTTTCATGGTTTGGGTGTTTCCTGCGACTTATATATTAAAATGTTCACGGTGACAATCATGAGAGGCTCTAGGCTTGTGAATCAGTTTTCTGCGCATGTCTCCTGCAGAAAAATAGTGAAATACGCAGTCGAAAACAGTAATCAAACAGGTGAAAGAAACGTTTTTTCTTCTTTATTACGCATTTTCTGGCTGGTGCAACTTATACCTACTATAAAACTATAAATCGCTCCGATTTATAGTCCCCAAAAATACGTATGCTCTTTTCTGATTTTATAATGTTTCCCCATTACAAACATGTCTGGAGTTGTGTTTTGTTTCATTCACACATGTTTAACACACAAACCCTGCGTATTTAGACTGTGTCATAAAGAACACTCAGTTCCACCTTGTTTTTGCTTCACTGTGTTTTTAATCTTTGCTTTGCTGTGTTTTCTTCTTCTTCACCATAATAATGTCTAAAATAACATCCCTGGAATTGCCAATCTCTGCTGAACTAAAAAAAAAAAAAAAAAAGGTAGCTGTTCACTACCAAAAACTACCACTACATGACATCACACAGTGGAACAGAGCATTTTGAGGTTTGGAGATGTAGACAGACTAATAATAATAAAGGACAGAAACATGTGAATGCAACAAAACACAAGTCTGTGTATGTTTTTGAGGCAGAAACAACATTATATCATGGCTAATTTTGTGTAATATAAGATCTTTAATTTACACAGTTTATATAAGTCCATGTTTATATTTAAGTGTTGAATAGAAATGATAGTTCCAGTCTCTTTTACAAATGCCTAAATCCTTAACCCAGCAGTTATGGCTAAGCCCGTTCACCACTGCTCTTGGATCAGCCTCTGAACGAACACAGTCTGCTGCAGTGATAAAAGCCACTTCCCAATGAAGTCATGTCTCTAATACCATTAAAAAGACTCAGGGCCAAAACCAAAACGCGACTCCACTTTCGGCGTATCCTTTACCCCATAAACCCACTCAACCACACGCTTTCATTTTTTACACAGGGGCCCCTCCTCCCTCTGCTCCCCCTGTGTCCTTGCTTTGCTCCGAACTCTCAGAGGGACAATAACATGGACAGGAATCACACCTGTGAAGTAAATATGTGAAAATGTATGCAAAAAGGAAGAAGTCTGTGTAATGAATTTCAATAAAGACGTAATATTTAGGTTAAATAGTCTGAAAGCTTTAAAGTTTCCATATTACTCTGTTTTCTGATCTATGTTAAAATGTTGTTTCCTCATCACAAACATACCTAAAGTTGTGTTTTGTTTCATTCACACATGTTATTTACACGCAAATCCTGCATATTTAGGCTGAGTTCTTCTCTAAAACAGAATGTGACATCATGTGGTAATACAGGAAGTGCTCCACTGTGTTTATAAACTCCATCCACCTTCACTAGAATCATTCGGATCATTTCAGAGCAGATATTGCAAGTCTCTACTAAACAAAAGGTAAAAGGAGCTGTTAACTTGAAAACTACCATATGACATCACAAGGTGGAACAGAGCATTTTGAGCTTAGGAGATGTAGACAGACTAATAATAAAGGAAGTCAAACATGTGTGAATGAAACAAAACACAACTCCAGGTCTGTTTTTGAAGAGGTAACAACATTATGACATGGTTTAAAATGTGTAAGAGTCAATTTTGTGTGACATTGTACTTTAAAAATATAATGGTTATCGTTTGTGGAAATTTTAAGAAATAAATTTGATGCAAGTTACCACTGATCATACACAATTTCATTCTGATTTTAACTACAGAACTGACCATAGAAAAGATTCTTATAAATATAAAGAAGACATATGGCTTTTGTATGCTCTATACTAACACATGTGGATCATTATTTTATATTTTTACATTTTTAAATCACAATATTGAACAAAAAATACCTATGATAACTTCGATTCACAAGAACTTGGAGCACAAAGCAAGTACAGAGCAGTGAGCGTTAAAACAGGGATTTTTCAGAGCAAGGGTGTCTTGGATGCAGGAAAACTACTCAAACATGCATGAATGACTCTAAATATTAGGAGTGTGCAAAAACATCAAAATATCAATATATCATATCATTTAATGTGATGATACAGTATCGATATCGTGGGCTGCTGTATCAATATATCGCCAAGAGTATTTTTTTTTTGGTATATTTTATGAAATTATTTTGTTAAAGTGCTACAGTTTTGTTGTTTGTTCAGAGGAAGGAAACTCGTTTATACGACATATGACATTTTCACAGTTTGATGATTAAAATGGGCTGCACAAGAAGTGGTTTAACAAAGACTTTTAGTATCACAGCCACGATTTTTGATTGACACTGTATTGAATCGATTTGAAATATATCGTATTGAATCAAAAGTGCACTATATCGAGATATGTACTGTATCGTGGCCTATGTATCGAGACATGTATCGTATCGTGGCCTATGTATTAAGGTATGTATCGTATCGTGGCCTATGTATCGAGACATGTATCGAATCGTGGCCTATGTATCGAGGTATGTATCATATCGTGGCCTATGTATCGAATCGTGGCCTATGTATCGAGATATGTATTGTATCGTGGCCTATGTATCAAGACATGTATCATATCGTGGCCTATATATCGAGATATGTATCGTATCGTGGCCTATGTATCGAGATATGTATCGTATTGTGGCCTATGTATCGAAACATGTATCATATCGTGGCCTATGTATCGAGATATGTATCGTATCGTGGCCTATGTATCGAGACATGTATCATATCGTGGCCTATGTATCGAGGTATGTATTGTATCGTGGCCTATGTATCGAGACATGTATCGTATCGTGGCCTATGTATCGAGGTATGTATTGTATCGTGGCCTATGTATCGAGACATGTATCGTATCGTGGCCTATGTATCGAGACATGTATCATATCGTGGCCTATGTATCGAGGTATGTATCGTATCGTGGCCTATGTATCGAATCGTGGCCTATGTATCGAGACATGTATCATACTGTGGCCTATGTATCGAGGTATGTATCGTATCGTGGCCTATGTATCGAGACATGTATCATA